AGAGAGAGAGAGGAAGAGAGAGAGAGAGGAAGAGAGAGAGAGAGGGAGAGAAAAGAGGGAGAGAAAGAGGGAGAGAAAAGAGAGAAAGAGAGAAAGAAAGAAAGAGATTAAAAATTAAACAACAACAACAACAACAACAACAACAACAAAAAGTTACTTCTAGGAAGAAAGAAAGGGGGAGCAAGCCGGTGGCAAAAACCAACCCTTATGAAACTATGTGACTCTGAAACCCACGGGTACCATTCTCACTGCATCACAGCCAGAGTCCCTGTGCTCCCCCTGACTTAAAAGGCAACGGTGCCAGTCCTGACCCCCGGCTGACGTGGTTTGTGCAGGCCTCCCCTGGGCAGGATTACCTCCACTAGACACACCCACTCCAGCTGTCCTTTCGACGCTCATCTTTAGGAAGCACGTCACTAGGGGGGCAGCCCACCCCCAGAGGGGTGGGGAGAGTGAGTGTGAAGAGGGATTATAAGGTGTCTGGAGTTCTTCTGTACAGGACAGTGTCTCCTCTCTGCCTCATCCCTCACTTACTTATTTAACCATTCATGTCAATATGGACAGGAGCTGTTTGTTTTACACTTCAGGTTTTATCTAAAGAATACTCGTTATTACACATACCATGTTATTTATTTTGTGGCTCAAACTGTCTCAGTTTGGGCCAGTGAGAGTTCTGTCAACTGGCTCGCATGTTCTTTTGACATGCTCCTACCCCTTTGCTTTTTGAGCACTTCTGTACTTTCTAGCACCACGAGATGTCCCAGGCTCGTCTTGTACTCTCCCTGCCCCAGCCCTAGAATCGGCCATTATCTGAAGGGGCCTTGGTTTGTTTGATGGTAAAATGGTTTTGGAATCCAAAATTGGGCCAGGCGAGCTTCTTCTCAAACCTGCAAACCCATCCAACCATGAGGAAAGTGTCAGACAAATGCAAGTTGAGGGCTATTCTGCAAAATATTGACCGGTACTTCACAGACCAGGAAAAACAATGGCTCCGTGTGACATGGTGTCCTGGATGGGTTCTGAACAGAACAAGGACGTTAGGGGAAAACTAGTAAAACCCAAATAAAACGTGGAGTTTGGTTAAAATTATGTACCAATGCTAGTTCCTTAGTTGTCATAAATGTGCCATAATGATGTAGAATGTTGACATTAAGAGAAATTGAGTGCAGGCGTGCAGGGATTTTGTACTGTCTTCCAACTTTTCTGTCAACAGAAAACCATCCTAAAAAGTTTGTTCTTTAAAAATCTACCTACAAAGAATACAAAAAAGTATGCATGTAACTTTAATAAAGACAAAACCAGGAAAGCATACACGTGCTCTGCATAGTAAGAACTCACATCTGTGCAGGATTTTAGTTTCTGGAGTATTTCCATAAGGATATGGTTTTTGTTTTTTTTTAAGTAGGGTTCATTACTAGCGTGGAGCCCAACGCGGGGCTCAAACTCACAATCCTGAGACCAAGACCTGAACTGAGATCAAGAGTCAGACGTTCAACCAACCGAGCCACCCAAGGGCCCCACGTGTATTGTTTTAGAAGAACAAAACACAAAGTCTGTAAGTGGTTTAGGCAACAATCATTACAATTCCCACTTACAGATGAGGAGACGGACCGTTGAAGACACGTAGCCCACACTACCCAGAACAGGAACAGAATCCAAGCTCCCTCCACCGCGTTCAGGTGCACCTTTGATTTAGTGACCACACTGCTGTACACGCACGCGTACACACACCACAAGCACCCTGTGCTTCTGCTGGTTCACCAAGAAAAAAGACAAGCACCTCTCCGGACTGCCTGGGGTTGCAGGCAAAGGAACATCTCAAACCCTCAAATATAGAAAGGATTTGAAACTTCGGCCACAATAAAAATAGACCAACCTAAGTGAGACAAGAATAGAAATGCTGAATACACTGAATATTTTATAAGACAGAGAAATTAAACCAGAACTGGGTGGACGCTAAAAGTACTTTTTAAAGATTATACTAGATCATACATACTGAGTTTTTGTCATACCAAATTATCAATTTTCATGTAATGTTATTTCCCATCTCTACCACCTGATCTTTTCATACATTTATACTCCCTTTATACTTACATGAGATTTATACTGCCTACAGACAATGAGATTATACACGCACATTCTACAAACAGGGAATACAACTTTCAATAGTTTGACAAATTTTAACAAACCTTCCCCCTCTCTCAAAAATTAACCAAAAAAAGGGCATCTGGGTGGCTCAGTCATTTGAGCATCTATCTGACTCTTGATTTTGGATCAGGCCATGATCTCACGGTCCCCCCACTGGGCTCTGCACTGAGCACAGAACCTGCCTGAGATATTCTCTCTCTCTCTCTCTGTCTCTGTCTCTGTCTCTGTCTCTCTCTCTCTGTCTCTCCCCCCCTCCCCGCCCCTCTCCCCTGCTCACACTCTCGAAAGAAAGAAAAAAAGAAAGAGCTAATGTAGTAAAGAAAGTTAAATATATATATATTTAAAAGACGTGTGGAATTAGATCAGTGGTTGCAGTTGCCCAAAATACAGAAAAAATTCACCAAATTGTATACTTTAAAATAATAACTTTTAGGGGCGCCTGGGTGGCGCAGTCAGTTGAGCGTCCGACTTCAGCCAGGTCACGATCTCGCGGTCTGTGAGTTCGAGCCCCGCGTCGGGCTCTGGGCTGATGGTTCAGAGCCTGGAGCTTGTTTCCGATTCTGTGTCTCCCTCTCTCTCTCTGCCCCTCCCCCGTTCATGCTCTGTCTCTCTCTGTCCGAAAAATAAATAAATGTTGAAAAAAAATTTTTTTAAATAATAACTTTTATTTTACGGGACTTAAATTTCAATTTCTTTAAAGAATGTGATAGAAAAAAACGACAGAGTGAAGGACAGCCAAGAAAGAAACATGAATTATTCTGACAGTTTTTTTTTTAATTTTTTAACCTTTATTTTTGAGAGATTGAGAGAGGCAGAGCACAAGCAGGGGAGGGGCACAGAGAGCTGGAGACAGAATCTGAAGCAGGCTCCAGGCTCTGAGCTCTCAGCCCAGAGCCCGACGTGGGATTCGAACCCACGAACTGCGAGATCATAACCTGAGCTGAAGTCGGATGCTCAATGGACTGAGCCAGCCAGGCGCCCCTGACAGTTTGACTATGAAATGAAGTTCCTAGAAAAACAAAGTCTAGCACAGAAAAAGAAAAATAAGATAGAAGAACAGATAAATGTTTACTTTGCCAATACTGGTAGCAGAACATCACGACCGAGATGTTTTCCCAAGAGATCTGTGAGCTGAACCAGCGGGAAACACAGCCAGCTAGACTCACAGCCCATCTCTCTACACACAACCATACGCCGGACTGAGCACTAGGCACAGACAGCGAGAAACGAGAAGCAGCCAGAGAACCTCTAATGAGCCTATAGCAAATGACTGAGGTTGTATTCAAGGAAATATTCAGTGCCATGATCTGAATGAATGTCTGTGTCCCGACAAAACTCATATGTTGAAACCTAACCCCGAAGGTGATGCTATTTTGAGGTGGGTACTCAGGTCATGAGGGTGGAGCCCTAAGGAATGAGATCAGTGCTCTTACAAAAGAGACTCCACAGAGCTCCCTCACCCCTTCCGCCAAGTGAGGACATAGAGAAGACAGCCATCTATGAAGCAAAAACCAAACCTCACCAGACCCCGAATCTACCAGCATCATGGTCTTGCAATTCCCAGTCCAGGACGATGAGAAATAAATTCATGGTGTTCATAAGTCCCCCAGATTATGGTATTTTGTTATAGCCACCCAAACAGACCAAGACATTCAGTATCATGGAACTCAAGATTACAGAGTGTGTTGTGCATTAAGTAATACAAGTGTCAAAACTTTAAAATGATTTCGGCTCAGATCATGATCTCATGCATGGTTCATGAGATTGAGCCCTGCACTTTCAGCGTGGAGCCTGCCTGGGCTCCCCTCTCTCTCTGTCCCTCCCCAATTCATACATACACACACACACACACACACACACACACACACACACACACGCTTTTTCTCTCAAAAAAAATTTTTTTAATTAAGTGAAGGACCAATCAGTTCCACCACTGGGTAAATACCCAAGAAAACTGAAAACATGTTTACATAAAAACCTGCACACAAATGGTCTAAAACCAATGCTGGACAAACGTAGAACTTTCACACCAGTAGTTTGGTATTATTCCTAACAGCCAAAATGTGGTCTATCCACACAATGGAGTATTATTTGGCTATAAAAAGGAACAAAATACTGATCCATGCTACAGCATGGTTGGGCCTCACAAACATGTACTTAAGTGAACCAAGCTAGACACAAAAGGCCACTTATTGCATAATTCCATTTATATGAAATGTCTACAGAGACAGAAGTAGATTCATGGTTGCCAAGGGCTGGAGGGAAAGCAGGGTGGTGACTGACTGCTAATGGGTTCAGGGTTTCTTTCTGGGGTTATAAAAATATTCTGGAATCAGGGTCACCTGGGTGGCTCAGTCAGCTAAGCGTCTGACTTCGGCTCAGGTCATGATCTCACAGTTGATGGGTTCAAGCCCCGCATCGGGCTCTGTGCTGACAGGTCAGAGCCTGGACCCTGCTTCGGATTCTGTGTCTCCCTCTCTCTCTGCCCCTCCCCACTAGCACTCTGCCTCTCTCTGTCTCAAAAATAAACATTAAAAAAAATTTAATCTAGGGGCGCCTGGGTGGCGCAGTCGGTTGAGCGTCCGACTTCAGCCAGGTCACGATCTCGCGGTCCGTGAGTTCGAGCCCCGCATCAGGCTCTGGGCTGATGGCTCGGAGCCTGGAGCCTGTTTCCGATTCTGTGTCTCCCTCTCTCTCTGCCCCTCCCCCGTTCATGCTCTGTCTCTCTCTGTCCCAAAAATAAATAAAAAACATTGAAAAAAAATTAAAAAAAAAAATTTAATCCTTTATCTCCTCTTCTAAACTTAAATCACAAGAATAAGCTGAATGCATGAATTGTGCTGGCCTAAAAATCACAAAAATCTGTGAAGTGGATGTTTCAATACTAACGACTCCAAGACGTTGTAACGTCTAGGAATTTGTTTCCATCTTAAAACTATAAACCACTGGATAAAACAGGAGGCATTCATCTGCCTCTTCGATGAATCTATCGATGTGCTTGCAGAATTCGAGACACGAAGGCAGTCAGAGCTCCCTGGGTTCTTTCCCCACAGCCATGCTCAAAAAAGTCAACTGTGGTTCTGTTCTGAAATCAGTCCACCTCTAAGTACATAGATCTTCTAACTCCACAATAACCTAACCACACCACTATGTGAAGTGTGCACATATCCCAGTGTGCACACTGGCTTTGCCTGTCAATGACCAGACAGCACCTAAAGAAAGAGTTTTACAAGAAGGCCGTGTCCCCCACCAGCTGGTCAGGGGCCCACCCCACTGCCAAGCAGGGCTCCTGGCCAGAGATGGGCAGTGCATTAGGTCATTCCGTTTGCCATGAGACATCTCTTCAGATGCAAACTTTAAGCATGACAAACCACAGAAAAGGGTACTACATGAAAATATAGGAGAACATGCTTTTTCCTAAATCAATAACAAGTAAGCCCAAATGATGCAGATGTCTCTATTACAAGTCTTTGAACAAACAAAAAGGAAAAACAGCTTCATCGGACCGTGTGACTAAGAGAATACAAAAAACAGGGTGTTATGGGAGCCTGGGTGAAAAAAAATAGAGCATTCATGATGTGGTTAAAAAACAGCATTTTTATTTCAAAATGAAACAGGACAGGGGCACCTGGGTGGCTCAGTCGGCTGTGTCCAACTCTTGATTTTGGCTCAGGTCATGATCTCACAGTTCATGAGTTTGAGCCCCACGTAGGATTCTGCACTGACAGCAAGGAGCCTGCTTGGGATTCTCCCTCTCTCCCTCTTGCCACTCCTCTGCTCATGCTCCTGCACACATACTTTCTGTCTGTCTCTCTCTAAAATAATTTAAAAAAAAAAATTTTTTTTTTAACATCTATTTTTGAGAGAAAGAGACAGAGCATGAGCAGGAGAGGGGCAGAGAGAGAGGGAGACACAAAATTGGAAGCAGGCTCCAGGTTCTGTACTGTCAGCACAGAGCCCAACACAGGGCTTGAACACACTAGCAGTGCAATCATGACCTGAGCTGAAGTCGGACACTTAACTGACTGAGCCACCCAAGGCGCCCCTCTAAAATAATATAAAAAAAAAAAAATTTTTTTTTTTACATTTATTTTGAGAGAGCGTACGCAAGCAAGGGAAGGGCAGAGAGAGAAAGGAAGAGAGAGAATCCTAAGCAGGGTCCACAATGTCTGCAGGGAGTCCAACGTGGGGCTTGATCCCACAATCCATGAGATCATGACCTGAGCCAAAATCAAGAGTCAGACACTGACTGAACCACCGAGACGCACCCACAATTAAAAGATTTTTAAGAAGCATCTGGCTGGCTCAGTCCATGAAGCATGAGACTCTTGATCTCGGGGTTGTGAGTTTGAGTCCCACGCTGGGTGTAGAGATTATTTAAAAATCAAATCAGGGGGCACCTGGGTGGCTTAGTCGGTTAAGCATCCGACTTTGGCTCAGGTCATGATCTCACAGTCCGTGGGTTCGAGCCCCACGTCGGGCTCTGTGCTGACAGCTCAGAGCCTGGAGCCTGCTTCAGATTCTGTGTCTCCCTCTCTCTCTGACCCTCCCCAATTCATGCTCTGTCTCTCTCTGTCTCAAAAATAAACATTTAAAAAAAATTTTTTTTATTAAAAAATAAAAATAAAAATCAAATCAGGGTGCCTGGGTGGT